ACCAGTAACGACAATTATGGCAACTAACAGTTGAGTTGGGAAAAAACGTACACTGGTCTGAGAAAAAGATGTTGAAAAGCAAATTTTTATTAGCTATTTGTCATCAGACATGGTTCCGCACTGTGGGCCAGAAATGCCCTAAACATTGAAAAAGTTTTTTTATGCTAAAAACGGTCAAGTAGGCCATTAAGCTTACAAAAACACCAGATATATGTCTGTGAGTTTTTATGTTGACACACGCGGGTTTAACAAAAGTCGGTAAATTTAATACTTATATTTATATGGTATATTTTGTTTAAACAAATCGCTTAAGATAAGACATTACAGTTAAAGGTGGATTAACTTTTTGACATACACTATGAGTGGACCAGATGCAGGCAAGTTCAAGGTTTTATACCATTTAAATTTTATGGATTTCTTTGCGAAAAAAAATAATGATGTAGTGAACGCATGTAAAAGCAAAAATTAACAAATCACATGGATATTTCACCAGAGATATATCAAGATCTACACTGAACTACACGTTTTTGTTGATGCTTTCCAGTACTCAAGCTTTATTATCGTAAGTAATATCACAAGGGCATCTAATTTTTCCGAAAAAAATCGAAAAAACACGTTGCTAAGTAATATTTTAACAAAAAGCATGAGTGCTGGTGGCAACAAAAATCCGAGTCGAAGAGGAGGATTTTTGCACCTGCACGAATGCATTTTGTTAAAAAATATTACTTAGCATTGTGTTTTTTCGATTTTTTTCACAGGAAAAATTAGATGCCCGAATGGTATTTGACAAGACTATTTCATGAGTAACAGTAACAGTAAGAATTAAAATATAAATTGCAATTTTTGGTGACAACAGCTGTCAAGTTTTGCCGCGGGTAAACTCGAAAAAACTGCTGACAGGTGCTGTCACACCGTTTTTTCACCTAGAAACCATTTGTAATTCAAAATTGCGCGTTTGTGATTGGTGGAAATTAAGACGAGGGAAATAGTCGAAGAAAAAACTTTTGCCGAATTTTGCCTACCCAGGAGAAAACGCAAGATTTTCTGTGTGGTCTATTACAATTTGATTCAAAATAAAGCTCTATTCGGGTATTAGTTAAAAGGTTATTAAGCCTAGATTGTAAAAGAATTTTTGAATATGTGATCTGTCATCTTGAAAGTTTTGACGTTTTTTTCGAAATGTCATATTTAAGGCAATTTTAGTGGTTTTAATGGATTTTTTTAATTTTTGTTTGTTTAATCGTTTGAACTCTGGTGCCTATAAATTTGCAGAGTAATTTTAAAATACCCTGAAAACAAAAAACATTTATTATTAAAAATCAAAATATAAAAAATATATATATATACAGTGTGACCCATTTGTTTGCAACTCACCCCTGTAAAATTGTTATTTATTGTGCGATTTTAACCGGATTTGTTTTAAAGTGTAGATCTTGATATACAGTATTTTTGGAGCAAAAAAGGCCATATTTGTACAAAATACAAGGCCTACTTTTTTTAGTTTTTAAGAGTACTCTACTTAAACTTTTAAGAATTTATATTAGCGATTTTTTTAAACAAAATCTAAGCACGGCACTGAATTCACCACCCCTCAAAACGACCCTTTACTAAATTTTATAAAATAATTTTAAGTAGAAAAATGCACAATAATATCTACAAAAATTTATTCTGTCAAGTTATTCATGAAAAAAACATTAAAATAAAATTAAACTAATAGTAACATGGTACTATAACTGTTGTAAAATAAATATATAGAGATATATAGGCTCTTAAAGTTCTATTTGTGACATTATTTCTATTTTGACATCCTATATCTTCTAGAAGATATAGCTATTATTAAATACAAGATCTTCAATAAGTTTTACAATTTCGCCCTGGTGGGTAAAGTTTGCAAAATAGCAAAATATTGTTAAATTTTACTCTGGTCTAACAATCTTTCGTTATCTGGGCAGCTGTTTATAAGTAAAATTAACTTCTTTTTCTTTGTTTTTGATAATTACATTAGAAAATTTGATACATTTGTTGAGTTTGATATTTTTCAATGTTTTACAAAATCTGGCCCACAGTGCGCCGGTCAAAATCGTCTTCATTTAATTCATGGACTAAATGAACCTTGTAAGGACAAAGCTTATGAGACCGAAGGATCCGTTTAAGGAATGTTGGTAACATACCTACCTAATTTCCTTGTCCTCAAAGTATCCAACAGCAAGAACTGTTCTAAAAGTCCTATCTTAGTTTTTCTACACAATTCTTTTTCAAATTCCTTATCTGTATTTTTTTATTTGAATAAGAAACGACATTTACTGATTTTAGATAATTTCGCTAAAATCCAACTGATTGGTGTTCTATTATAAATATTTTTACTTTAGTAGGGCCTTACATTTATTATATTCTAGGATGTTTTTAGGTTATTTCGCCGAGAATCGTGGTGGACATAAATTTAAGAAAGTCTTTCTTAATAGGGACTGAGAAAATAACATGTTTGCTGAAAACAACTCCGGTAATAGAATAAAAGGAAAGTGGAGTTAAAAGGGCCTCCCCAGAGCTGAAACAGTTTAAACTTACTTATCGATAAAGTACAATAATAAATTTTGTCGACCCAACTTTTTTCGGCCGTGGATTATTTTTTCCTCATATAATACGCACATAAATCAGCTTGAAAATTTGTTTTTCCAATTTTATTACCAATTCAAATCAAGTAACTATACCATAACTCATGCAGAGTTCACTTGAAATTCAAAGGGGGATCCCCGCTTCAAGGACTCCTATTGATCGGTTGATAGTTACTTATATTTGCTTCATGGAGCAAAAACTTTCTCTCTCTCTCGCCATTCCGAACATGAAATATATACACAATCGGGCAAAAGAAAAACGTCACCATCCATTTTCGATTTTGGACCCCTCTAAGCCTTTGCCAAAAAAATTCCGCCTAAAAACTTTCCGAAATTTATTGATCCCATTTTCAAGGCATTTTTTAAAAGTATATTTTTCTATAATCTATGGTAATTCGTTAGGGACTGTAGTAAATTTTCTTACATTTTATCGCAAACATTCCTTCGAAATTATGGGAAATTTTTATGAAGAATTATTATTAAATAGTCAAAGTCCATTTCTTCGTTTTTAAATATTTAATAGATTTGCACTTCTTTCTTATTCAAATACAAAAGTACGGATTAGAAATTTTATAAAAAATCGTGTAGAAAACTGTCGAATGATAAAAAAGCCTTAATCAGTCTTTTAGGTATTCCATTCATTTAACAATGGTTTACAGTATTACCCAGCAAGTTGAAATGATCACCTTTAAAAAAAGCTGCTGAGATATAAGTTTTAGGACAAGTTGTTACTGTTCCAACTTTGAGCAGAAGGAAATTAGCTATGGTTACCAACATTCCCAAAACGACCTTACAACAGATCCTTCGATTTCATATATTTCGTCCTTACAAGATTTATTTAGTCCATGAATTAAATAAGGACGATTATGACTAATAAAAATAGCTAAAGATGAAAATTTGATTATCAACACCTGTTTTTTAGTGTCGTTACTGGTAAGATGCAAATCCAAGAGTTTTACACCAAGTCCATACTCAAACTCCTCAAAATACCTGGGCAGGTATTTTTTGAGATCGTCTCGACCCATTTCTATGGTAACCTGGAGAAACGTATTTTAAATTACTAAAAGATGTAGATCATCCCTTAATAGTCGATATTGTTGAAAACCATAACTACTACTTGCAACACCATTTAATGTTCCAACGCGTGTTAGAGTGTTTTCTGGAAACTCAATTGGACATAAAGAAGCTGTGGATTGGCCGGCCAGATTTCCAGATTTACTCCCCTTCGATCTTATTAATTTCTTCCTTATAAGGCTTGTAAGTCCATGAATGAAATGAGGGCGATTTTGACCGGCGACTTGAGTTTTACGAAACTATCACTGAACGAATAGCTAATGATAACAATTTTCTGTTCAACATCTGTTTTTCAGACAAGTGTACGTTCTTTCTTAACTGTCAATCGCCATAATTTTCTTAACTGGTCAAATCCAAGTCAACACGAACTCCTCAAAAACAATGTGGTGTTTTCGGAGAACATTGGATCCATCTTTCTTGATGATAACCTGCCAGGAGAAACATATTTGGAATTACCAGAAGATGTAGTTCATCCCTTACTGGTTAATATTGTTGAAAATGACTGCTACTGGAAGACCATTTGCTGTGTTAGAAAGTTTTTGGACCGAGTGTTTCCTGGACAATGAATTGGACAAAGAGGAGGTTTGGATTGGCCGGCAAGATCTCCAGATCCCATAAACTTTTTTATGAGGGGTCATTTAAAAAGTAACCTTTAAATAACTCGAAAACTAATGAATATAATTTGACTATTTAAGATGTCCCCCTTGAAACTAAAGTTGCAAATTTGCTTTTTTAAAAAAATCAATGCCAATTACCCAAAAACTCCGTTGTCTCATTTTCATTGGAACACCCTATATAATAAATATTATATAGTAAAAATATAAATTCTTACAGGACATTGACTACAAAATATTGTAAATAATAATGAATGAATGATTTGGCATATTTTAATCTGTTATTGATCAAAACGTTTTTTATTATTAAGATGTAACTACCATTCACAAGTAAGAATTATTTTTGTTATTAATAGAACTCGACACTTAAAAACATTAATATATTTCCTGTTGAATATGTCCCACAAAAAAAATTTTAAATACCATTATTTTTATCGATATTGTCAAAAGTTTTCTTTAAAATGTTTTCTTATTTCCTGCTAATAAAAATATTTCCAGCTCCTGCTTAACAACTTTAAAGTTTTTAAAATGTAAGAATTGCTAATAAATCTCACCCACCCTAAGCAAAAAATCCTGCTACATTATTTCCTATTATTTCCTGCTGAGGAGGTCCTGCTGGCGCCTAGCCTAGCCTCTTGGACGCATCTTTCGTAAATAGGCCGAATATACGTAACCTCAAACAAGGTCATCGACAGTTATCTTCGTTTGTGGCGCACGATTCGAATGCTGCATCCTTTTCGCAGGTTTTCCCCGGCACATTCCTGCGGAAAATCGATATCGGACACAAAATGGTGACGTCGAAGGGAAAACCCACGATTTTCTGCGAGTTTTCGCGAAACGCCAGGTGGCGTACAGATTGACAATTCTGCATGTTTTTAGTGATAAAAAAGATTGCAAATTTACGTTAATAAAGCAATAATTATAAAGTTTGCGGTGTGGATAGTGTAAACTAACGCAGTGAAGTGTTACAGTCGTTGAAATACGGAGTTTAACGGACAACATAACCTACTTTAGAGTTACATTTTAAGTTTGACGTTTATATTACAATAAACAATTTGTAGTGTACGTATAAACAATGTATCGCGTACCTAATTGAGCACCACACCTTTAAAATGTCATAGACTAATATTTAGGTCAATCGCAGTTTTTGACAGATCACATGAACTTTCGCGATTTCGTGGGGTGTCGTGGGCGAAACAAGTGCAAAATGGTCGGCTCGATAATATAAACCACCATGGTCTGATGAGGCCATGACATCTAGACAATTGACCGTCAGTGCTGATGATCAGGGGATAACTGCCCCCCTTATTGGGACTCAGGTAACTTAAATGTCAATTTGCCTTGCATCAGTTTTTTTTAAATTAAGGGTGTCTGTTTACGTCACAGGGTGACGTCAAGACTTAAGTATAGTTTTACGACTCATTTAACTTCTTATTTTGAAGAATTCTACCAAAATCTGACAGCTTAAAAAATTGTTTTGAACATGTTTAAACAAAAAACTTCCAAATTTTAAATTCTATAGAATTTGGTTTCATCTAATTTTTAGCAATATCTACTATATTAGATATTGCTAAAAATTAGATGCAACCAAATTCAGAACAAACTACCATTGTATTTTAATATTAAAACAGTTTAATTGATTTTCAAGCAAAAACACACAAACTTGTAAAGTTGACACTGACAGTACGGTTCACACATGGCTTGCTTTACTTACAATACACAACAATGAACGTTACGTGTACATTATTTTAGTATGTCTATGCTCTTTAAACCAATCCAAATTGAATTATATTAGTACCTACTTAAAAAACCGCCATATTTGTTGACAAAAAAAAATATCATTTGGAAAAAAGTTACATATTGGCAAATTTGAAATTTAAGGCGAACAAATATCTAGCACATGTCAAACTTTTTATGTTTTATAAAATAAAGATTATAATTATAATAATTATTTTAATCATTACTTCGTACGACTTGGCAACACCGAGGTGCATTTTGTCAACGCTGCAAAAGTAAATAAACGACAAAATTAAGTATGTACGAAAATAAGTAGTAAGTAGTATTAAAATTAGAAATTACATACACATGTGTATGTAACCATGCATGGTTTGAATTTATTTATAGTAAGTACACATACATAGAAAATAAAAAAAATAATTAACAACGGTTTGTAATGAAATATAAAAACTAAATCATCATATATGGGTTTTAATAAAAAATTATCTACAAATTAAGGCCGGAAAAATAATGAAAATTTAAGTTAAGTAAAAATAAGTACTACCTTATTATTTTAGTTGGATATTAATTGATTTACAAAAGAGGTGTTTCTTTAGTTTTTTTATAAAATTTAATGTAAGCGTTTCAAAGATAATCGCAGCTAAAGTTTAAATTTACCGATTTATTTTTTGATGTTTGAAATATCTTTATAAATTGGTCTTCGTTTAATAATTAAAATAATCTTTAAACTATTTTCACATATTTTTCTGAAATTTTATTTCAAAATGTTCAGTTTAAAAAAGTATTCAGGTACTGGGAATTAAACCCAAGCCTTTTTTTCATATGGGTGAATATATTGAGATGTCCCCCAAGTGAAAATAATTATTTTTTATTTTTAGTTGTTTCACTGTTAGTCTAGAATGGGGTTTTTGGGAAGCTACCAGGTCTAGTAATAACATAACATAAGTGGCTCTGCACTAATGCAAGAATTTTAAGAAATCATACATTTTAAATATTAGAGCTTCACGGAAGATAGCTTCACGGAAGTTAGGATTTCGTATGTTTTTATTTTAAACATCGCTTTGTATATTTGAAATAAGTTATTGTATCTCTTGACACCTTAATATTTTTTACATAAAATATTTATGAAAAAAATCTACTTACAGAGATATTACATTTCACGGTAAATAGGTTTTTAAAAATCAAATCTGCATATAAATTCTAACTGACCTTCAGGAATCACATGCATCTATAATGTCGTAAACAGAGGTTTTTGCTTATTTAAAATAATTAAAACGCCATCCGTTGCATAAAATTTAAAGCAAAAACAGATTCACGGAGGATAGAACCTATTTTTGTAGCACCTTGATAAATGGTTATAAACATTATTTCTTTTAATTTTTAATGATATTTTATATTTGATTCGATTGCTTTGGATGTGTTTAATTTACTTAGTGAACTGATATTTTTAGTACGCTTTTACTACCTCAGATATTTGAAAACATATAGGTTAACCTAGAAAGAGTAACAGTCACGGAGGATAGGTTTTAGACTTTTAAAACATTGTAAAAAATAATTAATTGCGGTTAAAAATCTGGAACCTAAGCTGTAATATCTACTTAATTATGAAAGATCAAAACACAATAAAAGTTTGGGCCAAACTCATTTAGTTTTATTAAATATCACGGGGTAACACCATTTCGTGAGATTCACCCATATTAATAATTACATATGTAATATTACAGCATTTAAATTCTAGATCTTTTATCTATAATTTAAATCAATAAATTATTCAGTTAAAAAGTTTTAAAAACCCTTGTCATATTACTATACGGGATATACTTTATATTAAACAAAAGCTTACATTTATCGAAAAAACTAAAGAAAACTTTTTGTAGATCAGTTAATTTACAACAAAAATATGTTTTACCTATTTTAAAATCCTAACTATTCTGCAAGTTATAAAATTAAAAAACAAAAACTTTTCAAACTTTGAATATCTTTTAAATTGCTAGGTTTACGAAAAAATCATAGAATACTTTTTTGTAAAGCATTTAATTCCCTATTAAAATATGTAAATGGAAAATTGCACTCTTAATAGCTTAATAGCTCATATGTATGTTTTTTTAAGGTGCCCAACAACAAATTTTTCTACATAATGTTCCTATAGTTTTTAATTTAATTTGGTTTATTTACTTCAAAAATATATTTAACTGGGGACGGTAAGCATTAGATAGAACAAAGAGTTCCAAGAAAAGGTAAAGGTGTCTGATTATTATCTCCGAAATATTTTCACCGGCAAATGTTTTTTTCAACAGATTAATAGTGAAAAGATGTTTCATTAGTGCAATCTGACAGCACTGTCAGGTATAAGCGACGTTAAAAGTTTAATTTAATGGGTTTTTTCTTTTGTTTGGTCAGTGGGTTTTCTGACCTAAATTTAAAAAAATCCAAGTGCAAATTCTGTGTACGTACGTACATGTGTGGTAATTCAAGGTCTGTGATATTGGCCCGGAAATTTATTAAAGCTTATCAAAATTATTTTATTTGTGTATTGTATAATTTGAGGTATACTTTTGATAAGGTTTTAGAAATACCCATGGGTATTTCTAAAACCAACAGTTTTAAAAAAATGTTGTTTCTGCGTTGTGAGTGCCATCTTCAAATGGGCATTTTTCACCCTATGTTTTAAGAAACTTTTTTCATATTTATCACAGTAAATCAACCCTTAAAATTTTTATATGAAAATCGGAGACACCCTGTCTAATAGACAGTGTCTATGTATGTTATTTTGTAATAAGTTTTTAAATTTTATTTTTTGGAGGATGAAATGGGCCAAATTAACACATTAACACATTTTTGGATGCACTGTTATGCTTTGTATTAATCATTTTTTTTTATTAATTTGTGGGCAAATTATATCATTTCCTATTGTAATAATTAAACATTGTTGCTGATAACTTTATTGTGTACGAAATAAATTAACCGCAAACATTGATTATTAAAATTATGTTATAACACTTCTCATGATATTTCTAATTTAACAAGCATTAATATGATTTCGTCGGCAAAACAATCTACTTTTAAAAGTTAATTTATATGTTTTCTTGGGTTAGTATAAAAATAAATATGTTGTAAGCTTCTGAAAATTTTATTTGGGCGGAAGAATTTTTATGAAATAATTAAAATAAAACTTTCAGCATTAGAAATTTTAATTACTTGGTGCTTAAGCTGGTCACCGCTTTTATTATTCATAAAAGTGATAATAAAGTCTTGGATAAGTTGACAAAATAATTATTTTTGTAAATGTCACACAGAGAAAATTAAAAATTCCGTAACACCAAGACATTTTTATTAGTTGTAAAATAAAAACAATATATTCTTAACCAATTGTATTACTAAAAATAAAATATTAAAACACGTGCATGTGACAAACACAAATAGTAAAATAAAATGAATAAAATCTATTTTTGATCCCCACTTTTATATTTACTTACAATTTTGTTTTATAAATAGGACCACATTAAATGTTATACATTTTATAACGGACATATGTATGAATATTTTTATATTAGTCTAAAAATTAAGCGTTGTTTAAAAATTAAAAAATATTCAGCGTGATCGATTAATATTGGATTGTAGACCCATATATATTATATTATCAGGGGGGCCCATGGGGCATCGCCCATTTTATTTTTTAAGTTACCTTATTGAGTATTTTAAAAGAAATGGGAAGATATGTTGACAAAAAATAAAACATGCTATTCTTTTTTACTCTTTAAAATCTTGCGCGCGCCACTGGCGGTTCACTTACGAGTCCTATTGAGTTCTGGAATCTATAAAAACAAAATGTATAAATACCTTTTTTCTACCTCACCTACCTTCATCTACTTATTTAGATTGCGATGTGATGTTAAATTTTTAAAGATGGGGGAAGGGTGAAGGGCGGTGAGAGGGATGCAATGCAGGTAAATACAATGACAGCTTGCACCCCCTTATGCAACCTTTTTTGGCTTCTTAACACAAAAAATAATGCGACGAGAAAATAATAAATGGCAGAAAAAATATAATATAGTTAATACTATTAATTATAAAGAAAGTGCTATCATGATAGCAGAAAATTTGTATAATTTAACCAAATTTATAAAAATTAGAATTTTTTTTTCTTATAACACGTATAATGGACACTAAAGAAACTAAAAAAACTAAAGAAACTAAAGAAACTAAAGAAACTAAAGAAACTAAAGAAACTAAAGAAACTAAAGAAACTAAAGAAACTAAAGAAACTAAAGAAACTAAAGAAACTAAAGAAACTAAAGAAACTAAAGAAACTAAAGAAACTAAAGAAACTAAAGAAACTAAAGAAACTAAAGAAACTAAAGAAACTAAAGAAACTAAAGAAACTAAAGAAACTAAAGAAACTAAAGAAACTAAAGAAACTAAAGAAACTAAAGAAACTAAAGAAACTAAAGAAACTAAAGAAACTAAAGAAACTAAAGAAACTAAAGAAACTAAAGAAACTAAAGAAACTAAAGAAACTAAAGAAACTAAAGAAACTAAAGAAACTAAAGAAACTAAAGAAACTAAAGAAACTAAAGAAACT